GTCCACAAAAGATAACAGTGGTGGATGATCGCAGGATCCTCTCTATGGTAAAAAGCATTCTTTGGATGGATGCAACTAAGATTAATCTGTACCAGAATGACAGAAAGAAAAAAGTGTGGAGAAGGCTTGGAACAGCTTATGATCCAAAGCACACACGTCATCTGTAAAACATGGTGGAGGCAGTGTGATGGCATGGGCAGGCCTGGCTTCCAGTGGCACTGGGTCATTGGTGTTTATTGATGATGTGACAGAAGACAGAAGCAGCAGGATGAACTCTACCATGTTTAGAGATATACTGTCAGCCCAGATTCTGCCAAAGGCAGCAAAGTTGATTGGACGGCGCTTCACAGTACAGATGGACAATGATCCAAAACACACTGCAAAAGCAACCCAGGAGCTTTTGAAGAAAAATAAGTGGAATATTCTGTAATGGCTGAGAATTACCTGATCTCAACCCAATTGAGCATGCATTTCACTTGCTGGAGGCAAAACTAAAGGCAGAAAGACCTACAAACAAAGAACAACTGAAGACAGCTGCAGTTAGAGCCTGGCAAAGCATCAGAAAGGAGGAAACCCAAACTTTGGTAAGTTCCATAGGTTCCAGACTTCAGGCAGTCATTGCCAGTTAAGGATTTTCAACAAAATATTAAAAATGAACATTTTATTTATGATTATATTCATTTGTCCAATTACTTTTGTTCCCTTGAAAAAGTGGGGGGTGGCTACTCTTAAGAGCTGTAATTCCTAAACCCTTCCTCCAATTTGGATGTACATGTCCTCAAGTTAAACCTGAGTTTGTGCACTTTCAGCCCATATCCATTATATAACTACAGTAAGTCCCCTACTTACAAACGAGTTCCATTCCAGGAGAACGTTTGTAAATCAGATTCGTTCGTAAGTCCTACAAAGTGAGTCTTATACACCTTTGACACAAATATACAATGTAAAGCATAAAAAAAAAAAACACACAAAAATACTGTAAAAAACTATTTTTACTTTGACAGTTACCTTAAAATGGTGTTACAGTACAGTACAACTGTAAATAAACAATTTTTTTTATTTTACAGTTACCTTAAAATGTACAGTACAGTACCACAACTGTAGTGGAAGAGAGTTACTAACTGGAAGAGGTAGGTTAGGTGGGAGATGGTGGGGCTGAAGGATCACCAGCAATAAGAGATGGAGGTCAAGATGGAATTTGGCCCAAACCTGATGTTGATGGAGCTGAAGGATCATCAGCAATAGGAGATGGAGGGCAAGATGGAATTTGGCCAATACCTGATGTTGACAGAGCTGAAGGATCATCAGCAATAGGAGATGGAGGGCAAGATGGAATTTGGCCCACACCTGATGTTGACGGAGCTGAAGGATCATCAGCAATAGGAGATGGAGGGCAGGATGGAATTTGGCCCACACCTGATGTTGACGGAGCTGAAGGATCATCAACAATAGGAGATGGAGGGCAAGATGGAATTACACTCACACCTGATGTTGATGACAAAGGTGTTTTGATGGATTCGATTCTGTCTACCGTCTGGAAAAAATGATCCAGTGATGTCTGAGTAGTAGCTCTTTTTTTCTCATCATAGATGACTCTGTAGCACTGAATGGCATGATGAATGGCTGCTGCAAAACCTTTGTGTAGCGTTCTACTTTGGGGTCCTGTGCCTCAAAAACTAACAATGCCTCTTCAAGTAAAGAAAATCCCCTTGCCATTTCCTGTGTTGTGAATCTCTTTGGTTCTTCAGTTACATCTTCCTCTTGGCTCTCTTTGTCTTTTCGCTGGGCCTCTATTCCATGAGGTCCTCATTAGTAAGCTCCTCATGTTGCACAGCAAGGAGTTCAATGAAGTCGTCTTCTTGCAGATCTAGCTTCAGCTTCATGCTAAGGGTCACCAAGTTGTTGAAGACCTCTTTGGACTCCTTACCCATCTTCTCAAGTCCATGAACTTCATGAACAAACTGTGGGCTTGCCAAGCAAAGATGATATTTTTTATGGCCTTGAAGATGTTATAGTCTGTCAGCAATCCGGGTATGACCAGAAATGTGTGGACTGACACAGGGAAGTAACAGGTTTCAGGAATGATATAATAATATAATTTATTATTAGCTACCAAAATATACAACGCTCAGTAAATAAACCAACCTTCCACTAATCTTAGTATGTGCAGGAACACAGGCGCAGTCAGGGCTGGAGAGGTGGAAGGGTCAGGCCGGCCATATGGTTCTGTTAACAACCGTCTGGTGATACCCCTAGCAGTCCTAAGGACAGGATTTCCCAGGGCGCGGAGTCTAAGTCCCAGTCTGCTTATTCACCAGGGCCCCTGATGGTGGGGATGGACTTGGAGCAGACAGGAACCAGGTCGCGGCCCCTGAGTACACCTGCTCATGGTAGAGGGATCCGCCAGAGGTATATGCAGGTAGGAAGCCTGATGTGAAGAGGCAGAAGGTGTGAGCAGGGATGGCTGGATCTGTGCAGGATGGATGGTTCGTCTGGGTAGCGTAAGGCATAGTCAGGCAGGCCAGGTCAGCAACATGCGGGCAGCGAGGTACCGAAGGAGCAGGCAGAGAATAGTCAGGGTCACAAGCCGGGTTCAGGAACTCAAGGGCAGCGCGGTACAGAGGATCAGGCAGAGAATGGTCAGGGTCACAAGCCGGGTTCAGTTACTCACGGGCAGCACGGTACAGAGGATCAGGCAGAAGGATGGTCAGGCAAGCCAGGGGTTAAACAGGAGATGGTCAGCAGGGTCAGGAACAATGCAGGGTCAGCAACTAGGCAGATAGGCAGGAACACAGGATACCAGGTACAGGGGCTCATGGGAAACATACACCAAGGCACTGATCACAGGCCTGGTCATTCCTTAAATACACCTCCTGCAATCAGCCCCAGGTGTTGGCTGACTGCAGGAGTGAGCTTCTGGCTGCTGAGAGCACCCGCTGGTTAGCCCTGGTACTGCAGCCCACACGGCAGGTGAGTCCCTTCCTGACAGTACACCCCCCCCCCCTCAAGGAGCGGCCTCAGGATGCTCCAAACAGTCCTTAGTGAGCAAAATGTTCCACCGCCCGGGTCAGGTAACTGGCTGGATATCTTACTGCCGGAGTCAACCGGCTGGCTGGGTTTCCTGCTGGCAGACTTCTCTTTATGTAGGGGAACCCAGGAAGGCAGGTCGCTGGACACAGGATGTCAGGGATGCAGGTGTGACCAGAAGTTTGTGGACTGACACAGGGAAACGTAGGCTTCAGATATAGTAAATAATATAATTTATTGAGACTAACAATACAAATATAAACGCAGTGCACCAAACCCCAAGCTAACACAAATACATACAACAAGGTGAAACAAACCCAAACCTAAACTGATATAGATACACAGGTGCATACACATATAGAGCACAACGTAGTCAGGCAGGCCGGGTCGATAACTATCGGGCAGGTAGGTACAGGAGGAGCAGGCGGAGAGAATGGTCAGGGTCACAAGCCAGGGATCAAACAGGAGAAGTCAGCAGAGGTCAGGATCAGGCAGGGTCGGCAACAAGTCAGGCAGAAACAGGAACAGGAACAGGAATGCAGGTTACAAGATACAGGGGCCCATGGAAAAACACACACCAAGGCCCTGACTGTGAGTCTGGCCATTCCTTAAATACAACCCCTGCAATCAGCTTCAGGTGTTTTGGCTGACTGCAGGGGTGAGTCTCTGATTGCTGAGAGACAGTACCCCCCCCTCAAGGAGCGGCCTCAGGACGCTCCAAACAGTCCTAGCTGGGTAAAATGTTCCACCGCCCGGGTCCAGTAACTGGCAGGATATCAAAGACTGGCACATCGAGCTGGGCACCGGAAGGAGGCCCATCGGGCTGGGTACCGGACGGAGGCCCATCGGGCTGGGCACCGGACGGAGGCACTTCGGGCTGGGCACCGGACGGAGGCACTTCGGGCTGGGCACCGGACGGAGGCACTTCGGGCTGGGCACCGGACGGAGGCACTTCGGGCTGGGCACCGGACGGAGGCACTTCGGGCTGGACACCGGACGGAGGCACTTCGGGCTGGACGCCGGATCACCAGGTGAAGCAGCGGGCACCGGGCCACCAGGCGGGGCAGCGGGCACCGGGTCACCAGGCAGGGCAGCGGCCACCGGGCCACCAGGCAGGGCAGCAGGCACTGGGCCACCAGGTGAAGCGGCAGGCACCGGGCCCCCAGGCAGAGCGGCGGGCCTCAGGCCCCCAGGTGGAGCAGCGGGCACTGGGCCACCAGGCAGAGGGGTGGGCACTGGGCCACCAGGCAGCGCGGCGGGCACCGGGCCCCCTGGCAGGGCGGCGGGCACCGGGCCCCCAGGCAGGGCGGCGGGCACCGGGCCCCCAGGCAGGGTGGCAGGCACCGGCGGAGAGAGGCGGGCACCGGGCCCCCAGGCGGAGCGGCGGGCACCGGGCAACCAGGCGGAGCGGTGGGCCTCGGGCCCCCAGGCGGAGCGGCGGGCACCGGGCAACCAGGCACAGGGGCGCGCACCGGGCCACCAGGCAGGATGGCCCGGTGCCCGCCTCTCCGCCTGGGGGCACCGGGCCCCCTGGCAGGGCGGCGGGCACTGGGCCCCCAGGCAGGGAGACGGCACCAGGCCCCCAGGCAGGGCGGCGGGCACCAGGCCCCCAGGCAGGGCAGCAGGCACCAGGCCACCAGGCGGAGCAGCAGGCACCGGGCCCCCAGGCAGGGCGACGGTCATCGGGCCCCCAGGTGGAGCGGCGGGCACCAGGCCCCCAGGTGGAGCGGCGGGCACCGGGCAACCAGGCAGGGCGGCGGGCACCGGGTCCCCAGGCAGGGCGGCGGGCACCGGGCCCCCAGGCAGGGCGGCGGGCACCGAGCCCCCAGGCAGAGCGGCGGGCACCGGGCCCCCAGGCAGGGCGGCAGGCACCGGGCCCCCAGGCAGAGCGGCAGGCACCGGTCATCAGACATTGAATCGTCTTGCTCGACCGCGGGCACCAGGTCATCTGGCTCAACAGCGGGCATCGGGTCACCAGGCACGACAGCGGGCATCGGGTCACCAGGTATGACAGTGGGCACTGGGTCATCAGGCATTGGATCGTCTGGCTCGACAGCGGGCATCGAGTCATCAGGCACGACAGCAGGCATCGGGTCACCAGGCACGACAGCGGGCACTGGGTCATCAGGCATTGGATCGTCTGGCAAGACTGCGGGCACCGAGTCGTCTGGCAAGACTGCGGGCACCGAGTCGTCTGGCAAGACTGCGGGCACCGAGTCATCTGACAAGACTACGGGCACCGAGTCATCTGGCATAATAGGATCATCAGGCTGGATCAGTTCATCAGGCTGGGTAGAGACATCAGGCTGGGTAGAGACATCAGGCTAGAGACATCAGGCTGACAGACATCAGGCTGGGTAGAGACATCAGGCTGGGTAGAGACATCAGGCTGGGTAGAGACATTAGGCTGGGTAGAGACATCATGCTGGGTAGAGACATCAGGCTGAATTGTGGGTGCCGAGGCACCAGGCTGAACCACGGAAGGCGGGTTCTCAGACGGCAGGCTGACCGGTTTGGATACTGGCAGGATGGTACTGGTTGGAAAGAATTTTCACTTTTTTCTGGTTTTAGTTACTGGAGCACTGTAAGTAAACGCAGGTCTGTAAACGAATGGAGCAGCTGAAGACAGAGAAGAGCTGGAGGATGGAACAGAGGAGGGAGCAGTTGCTACAGAGGACTTCTTTACAGGGTTAAAGAAAGGATAGGTGCAGCGAGTGGGAGCAGGGGACTGGTATGTGGTAGTTAGCAGAGTATACTGGGCCGTCACTGGGGGTGCTGTCGGGGATGCAGGAAGAGTGCCTTGAGCAGAGGAATGATGTTGCAAGCCGACTGAGGCTGGGTGCAACAAGTCTGACCATGTCTGCAGTATGGGTTGAACAAAGCTCCGCTTACACAAAGCCTGTCTGGTCAAAGACTGCACTGCGTTTATACAATCTCTTAGTACCTGTTGTGGACATGCAGAATAACGCTCCAGAAAGTAATCTACATCATCCTCTAATAACCATACCAGGGACTCTACCTGGTCGGCACTAAATGGCGGCAAAAATTCATCTCTGCATTCGGGGGTACCAGATGAAACCAACTCAGCACAAACCTGAATCAATGGCTGCACCTCAGAGAATTCTGTGCCCTGATCTACTAGGCAATGAGCGATCCTTATACACTCTAGTAGTTGATCCCGGGTATACTCCCTCAGAGTTTGATAAGCATAATCCCTGTCATCAAACACTAGCAGAGATAAATACACCACCTCATCAAGATCCATCCTTCCCAGCAACAATAAGCCAAGATGGCTTCCCTGTGCAGCCACTTCTGGTCAGGATTGGCCTGGTGTAATGTCAGGGATGCAGGTGTCACCAGAAGTGTGTGGACTGACACAGGGAAACGTAGGCTTCAGATATAGTAAATAATATAATCTATTGAGACTAACAATACAAATATAAATGCAGTGCACCAAACCCCAAGCTAACACAAATACATACAACAAGGTGAAACAAACCCAAACCTAAACCTAAACTGATATAGATACACAGGTACATACACATATAGAGCACAACGTAGTCAGGCAGGCCGGGTTGATAACTATCGGGCAGGTAGGTACAGGAGGAGCAGGCGGAGAGAATGGTCAGGGTCACAAGCCAGGGATCAAACAGGAGAAGTCAGCAGAGGTCAGGATCAGGCAGGGTCGGCAACAAGTCAGGCAGAAACAGGAACAGGAACAGGAACAGGAATGCAGGTTACAAGATACAGGGGCCCATGGAAAAACACACACCAAGGCCCTGACTGTGAGTCTGGCCATTCCTTAAATACAACCCCTGTAATCAGCTTCAGGTGTTTTGGCTGACTGCAGGAGTGAGTCTCTGATTGCTGAGAGCACCCGCTGGCCAGCCCTGGTACTGCAGCCCACAAGGCAGGTGAGTCCCACCGTTATTGGCAAGTCCATTCCTGACACAGGATTTCCAGGAGCAGGCTGGGAATCAGTTATTGGCCAGTTTAGCTGGACATCAGGGGCTGGCACATCAGGCTGCGCAGCGGACAGAGGCACATCGGGCTGTGCAGCGGGCAGAGGCACGTCAGGCTGGGCAGCGGGCAGAGGCACGTCAGGCTGGGCAGCAGGCAGAGGCATGACAGCGGGCACCAAGTCATCTGGCACAACAGCGGGCACCGGGTCATCTGGCCTGACAGCGGGCACCGAGTCACCAAGCTCGACAGCGGGCACCGAGTCATCGGGCACGACAGCGGGCACGGAGTCATCAGGCACGTCAGCGGGCACCGAGCCATCTAGCAGAGGCACATCGGGCTACGCAGCGGGCAGAGGCACGTCAGGCTGGGCAGCGGGCAGAGGCACGTCAGGCTGGGCAGTGGGCAGAGGCATGACAGCGAGCACCGAGTCATCTGGCTCAACAGTGGGCACGGAGTCATCATCGGGCACAACCGCGAGCACCGAGTTACTGGGCAAGTCAGCAGGCACCGAGTCATCGAGCACGTCAGCGGGCACGAGCCATCTAGCAGAACCACGGGTACCGGGTCACCAAGCTCAACAGCGGGCACCGAGTCATCTGGCACGACAGCGGACACCGAGTCATCTAGCAGAACCGCGGGCACCGGGTCACCAAGCTCGACAGCGGGCACCGAGTCATCAGGCACGACAGCGGGCACCAAGTCACCGGGCAAGTCAGCGGGCACAGAGTCATTGGGCACCGAGTCATCTGGAACCACGGGCACCGGGTCACCAAGCGACAGCGGGCACCGAGTCATCTGGCACAGACAGAGTCATCGGGTAAGTCAGTGGGCACCGAGTCATCGAGCACGTCAGCGGGCACCGAGCCATCTAGCAGAACCGCGGGCAGCGGGTCACCAAGCTCGACAGCGGGCACTGAGTCATCTGGCATGACAGCGGGCACCGAGTCATCTGGCTCGACAGCGGGCACCGAGTCATCTGGCTCAACAGCGGGCACCGAGTCACCTGGCTCGACAGCGGGCACCGAGTCATCAGGCAAGTCAGCGGGCACCGAGTCACCGGGTAAGTCAGCGGGCATCGAGTCATCAGGCACATCAGTGGGCACCGAGCCATCTAGCAGAACCGCGGGCACCGGGTCACCAAGCTCAACAGCGGGCACCAAGTCATCTGGCACGACAGCAGGCACCGAGCCATCTAGCAGAAAACGTGGGCACCGGGTCACCAAGCTCGACAGCGGGCACCGAGTCATCTGGCACGACAGTGGGCTCCAAGTCACCGGGCACGACAGCGGGCACCCAGTCAACGGGCACGACAGCGGGCACCAAGTCACCGGGCAAGTCAGCGGACATGGAGTCATCGGGCACCGAGTCATCTGGCACGACCGCGGGCACCGAGTCACCGGGCAAGTCAGCGGGCACCGAGTCATCGAGCACGTCAGCGGGCACCGAGCCATCTAGCAGAACCACGGGCACCAGGTCACCAAGCTCGACAGCGGGCACTGAGTCATCTGGCATGACAGCGGGCACCGAGTCATCTAGGAACAGCGGGCACCGGAGTCACCAAGCTCGACAGCGGGCACCGAGTCACCTGGCACGACAGCGGGCACCGAGTCATCAGGGTAAACCGAGTCATCGAACACGTCAGCGGGCACCGAGCCATCTAGCAGAACCGTGGGCACCGGGTCACCAAGCTCGACAGCGGGCACCGAGTCATCTGGCATGACAGCGGGCACCGAGCATCTGGCTCGACAGCGGGCACCGAGTCCATCTAGCAGAACAGCGGGGCACCGGTCACCAAGCTCGACAGCGGGCACCGAGTCACCGGCAAGTCAGCGCGGCACCGAGTCACCGGGCAAGTCGCGCACGAGTCATCGGGCACCGTGGTCACCGAGCCATCTAGCAGAACCGCGGGCACAACGGGGCACCAAGTCATCGACACAGCGGCACCGAGCCATCTCAGAAACGGGGCACGACAAGCTCGACAGCGCACCGAGTCATCTGGTCACGACAGCGGGCAAGGGCACGACAGCGGGCACCGAGTCACCGGGCAGTCATCGGGCACCTAGTCATTTGCACGTCACGGGCACCGAGTCATCTAGCAGAACCGCGGGCACCGGGTCACCAAGCTCGACAGCGGGCACCGAGTCATCGGGCACGACAGGGGCACCAAGTCACGGGGCAAGTCAGCGGGCACTGAGTCATCGAGCACGTCAGTGGGCACCGAGCCATCTAGCAGAACCGCGGGCATCGAGTCACTAAGCTCGACAGTGGGCACCGAGTCATTGGCACGACAGCGGGCACCGAGTCATTGGGTAAGTCAGCACGAAGTCATCGGGCACCGAATCATCTGGCACGACCGTGGGCACCGAGTCACCGGGCAAGTCAGCGGGCACCAAGTCATCGAGCACGTCAGCGGGCACCGAGCCATCTAGCAGAACTGCGGGCATTGGGTCACCAAGCTCGACAGCGGGCACCGAGTCAGCTGGCACGACAGCGGGCACCGAGTCATCGGGCATCAGGGCATCAGGCTGGATCACGAACACCGGGTCTTCAGGCCGGATCGGGTCATCAGGCCAGATCGGGTCATCAGGCTGGATCGGGTCATCAGGTCGGATTGGGTCATCGGGCATCAGGGCATCAGGCTGGACAACGGAAGGCGGGTCCTCAGACAGCAGGCTGACCGGTTTGGATACTGGTAGGATGGTAGTGGTTGGAAAGAATTTTCGCTTCTTCTTGGGTTTAGTTACTGGAGCACTGTAAGTAAATGCAGGTCTGTAAACGGATGGAGCAGCTGAAGACAGGGAAGAGCCAGGAGGATGGAACAAAGGAGGGAGCAGTTGCTACAGAGGGCTTCTTTACAGGGTAAAAGGCAGGATAGGTGCAGCGAGTGGGAGCAGGGGAATGACATGTGGTAGCTAGCAGGGTATACTGGGCTGTCACTGGGGGTGCTGTGGGAACTGGAGGAAGAGAGCTTTGAGCAGAGTAATGGTTAGAAGCAGGACTGGGTTGTTGCAAGCTGACTGAGGCTGGGTGTAACAAGTCCGACCATGTCTGCAGTACTGGCTGAACAAAGCTCAGCTTACACAAAGCCCGTCTGGTCAAAGACTGCACTGCGTTTATACAATCCCTAAGCACCTGTACATGCAGAATAATGCTCCAAGAAGCAATCCACATCATCCTCTAATAACCATACCAGGGACTCTACCTGGTCTGCACTAAATGGCGGCAAAAAGTCATCCTTGCCCTCAGGGGCACCAGACGAAGCCAACTCTGCACAAACCTGAATCAATGGCTGCACCTCAGAGAACTCTGTGCCCAGATCCACTAGAAAATGAATGATCCTTATGCATTCTAGCAGCTGATCCCTGGTATACTCCTTCAGAGTCTGATAGGCATAATCTCTGTCATCAAAGACTAGCAGACACAAATATACAACCTGCTCAGGATGCATCCTTCACAACAATAAGTCAAGATGGCTTCCCTGTGCAGCCACTTCTGGTCAGGACAGGCCTTGGTGTAATGTCAAGGATTCGGGTATGACCAGAAAAGTGTGGACCGACACAGGAAAGTAACAGGTTTCAGGAATGATATAATAATATAATTTATTATTAGCTACCAAAATATACAATGCTCAGTAAATAAACCAACCTTCCACTAATCTTAGTATGTGCAGGAACACAGGCACAGTCAGGGCTGGAGAGGTGGAAGGGTCAGGCCATATGGTTCTGTTATCGACCATCTGGTGATACCCCTAGTAGTCCTCAGGACAGGATTCCCTAGGGCGCGGAGTCTAAGTCCCAGTCTGCTTATTCACCAGGGCCCCTGATGGTGGGGATGGACTTGGAGCAGACAGGAACCAGGTCGCGGCCCCTGAGTACACCTGCTCATGGTAGAGGGATCCGCCAGAGGTATATGCAGGTAGGAAGCCTGTTGTGAAGAGGCAGAAGGTGTGAGCAGGGATGGCTGGATCCGTGCAGTATGGATGGATCGTCTGGGTAGCGTAAGGCGTAGTCAGGCAGGCCAGGTCAGCAACTTGCGGGCAGCGAGGTACCGAAGGAGCAGGCAGAGAATAGTCAGGGTCACAAGCCAGGTTCAGGAACTCACGGGCAGCGCGGTACAGAGGATTCAGGCAGAGAATGGTCAGGGTCACAAGCCGGGTTCAGTAACTCACGGGCAGCACGGTACAGAGGATCAGGCAGAAGGATGGTCAGGCAAGCCAGGGGTTAAACAGGAGATGGTCAGCAGGGTCAGGAACAATGCTGAGTCAGCAACTAGTCAGATAGGCAGGAACACAGGATACCAGGTACAGGGGCTCATGGGAAACATACACCAAGGCACTGATCACAGGCCTGGTCATTACTTAAATACACCTCCTGCAATCAGTCCCAGGTGTTGGCTGACTGCAAGAGTAAGCTTCTGGCTGCTGAGAGCACCCGCTGGTCAGCCCTGGTACTGCAGCCCACACGGCAGGTGAGTCCCACCACCAGTGCTGAGTCCATTCCTGACATAGTCCTTCCAAAATTGTCACAAGGTTGTTCCTGTTTTATGAATAGCCTTCACTTCCTGATGAAAAGTGTGACGTAAATAATAATTCTTGAAAGTCACAATAACTCCTTGTATCATAGGTTGGATGAGTGCTGTTGTATTTGGTGGCAGATGCACTACTTTGATGTTGGGATGAAAGTCATCCATGAATAGGGGTGACTTGGTGCATTGTCAAGCAGCAAAAGAATGTTGAATGTTATATCTTTCTCTAAACATTATTTCTCTATCTCTGGGATAAAGTGGTGAAAAAAACTGTCCTGGAAAATGGCCGTTGTAACCCAGGCTTTGAAGTTACTCTTCCACACAAAAGGTAGAGAGCCCTTGGCTATGTTTTTGAGGGCTCTTGGGTTCTCTGAATGGTAAACTAAGAGAGGCTTTAGTTTTCATATCACTGGAAGCATTACCACCAAACAACAGAGTAAGTCTGTCCTTTGCAGCTTTGAAGCCTGGCATCAAATTTTCCTCTTTACTGATGTAACTTCGTTCTGGCATCCTTTTCCAGTGCAGTCCTGTCTCATTGAGATTAAAAACCTGCAGGGGTAAATAAGCACCTTCTTCAATAATCAAGTGTTGCTGGAAATTCTTGGGCAGCTATGGTATCTGCACTTGCAGCCTCACCACTTACTTTTACGTTGTGAAGGTTGGCTCTAGCCTTGAATCTGTTAAACCATCCATAGCTGGCAGTATAAGATACACACTGTTCACCCCGTTTTTTCATCAAGTCTTCAAACAGGCTTTTAGCTTTTTCTTGAATAAGCATTAGCTGAGTGGGACTCGACGCTGATGCTGATCCTCCATCTCCTCTATCACTTTACCACGCTTTTTGGATATTATTGTTGACTTCATAGGCAAAGCAGATTTCACATGTTCCATGATCTTGACCTTGTTCTTTAGAATTGTGCCAATGGTTGAAATTTCATGTTATAAGAACTAGTGATGTCTACCATCTTTTCGCCCCGAACCAATTTCTCAATTATTTTCACTTTTGCTTCCATGGTTATTGCTTTGCGCTTTCTAGCAGTCCCAGCCACATCACTACTGCTTTTCCTCTTGCTACTGGAACATCCTGGGTTCTGTATAGTATACTATCGCACTGTACAGTAAGCACACAGCAGAACAACTGTGACAATGTGGAGCTGTGACAATGTCCAGCAGACACGTGAGCTACTTCCGCGATTTGTTTGCATGCATCTACGAATGTTCGTAATGCGAGGTCTGTTCATATCTGTGAAAGTTTGCAACTCGAATGTTCGTAAGTCGGGGACTTACTGTATAGCTTGAATATGTTTTGGTAAATACCTGAAAAGAACTAAAATTGTGTCTGTGTCCAAATATATATGGACCTAACTGTATTAGTATTTATATTCAATATATTGCATTCAAATAACTAAAAGAAAAGAAAAAAAATGAATTGAACGTATTCATTTTGAACATAATAAAGAAAGGAAAACACTATACATTCTGTTAAAGTGTCACTGCATCTCAGAGAGTCTAGGACCACTTGCTGGTTAACCAGTAACAAAGATGAAATAGTAACTTGCCTCTTTCTTATTGACAAATACTTTATGTACAGTACCTGTTTAAACTTAATAAACATTCCTTTACTGCATTAATATTTTTATTTCACTCCACCATTGAAGACATGTAAAATAATGACTCTGAATCAAAGTGTGACATTTTACTGACTAAACATTACTTTTTATTTCATAACGCGACAATGATTTTATTGCCACCTTTAGGTCTAGTTACTTTGCAATGTGCTTTATGGTCACTATGTACACAATCTAAAATACTTATTTAAAATTCACTTAGCATTTCAGTAAATGTCCAATAAGAGGTGGAACATGGCATATAAAATGTCAACAATTAAAAAAAATATATTTTGGCTTTGAGTTGTCAAATTCTTAGTATTTTAAGACTTCTAAATCATATCATGAGATAGAAGTATGAAGATGTAATTCATATATGTAAATGAAACCTCTACTGAGGGAAGTATAGAGAAAGGCATTCCTGACATCATACTGAAAATGCTAGTTGTCTGGCTTCCTCTGTTTTCAGTGGATTAGGGTCAGTTGTGACCTCTCTAGATGATTCCTCCAGGGAACTCCATATCCACAAACACAATATTATTACATGAAAAGAGAAGGTGATGACTCCAAATAGTAAGAGCATTGTAAAACCTTTATTTAAATGATCCAAGCAAATACATACTTGCAAGAATGTCAAAGGCAGGTGAATGCATAGTATCAGTACCTTCTCAGCTGGGCCCTATGTGCTTCATTCTAGTGGATGTTATCAGAGGCTTGATGTACCTGTTACTTTAAAGTGACATTAGAATATTTTGTTCCCATACCACAGCTATTGATTATATACGTTACATGTATTTGCTGTTTTTACCTTAAAAATTCTCCTCTTCATGTATTTTTAAAAGTGTCCCCCAGCTGTGTTGACACAATGACCATTCAAATATCATGCTGGATGTCTATACTGATATGAAATTGGTAATGTGTTAGGAACATAAGCATTCCCCATTGTTTGATGGAAATTAAAATTGTCAACCTACAGAGGACTGAATTCAAAGACACCCCCAAAATCAAAAAGAAAAAATGATGCAGCAGGCTAGTCCATTTTAGTTAAATTTCATTGTAGCAACTCAAAATGGTACTCAGTAGATTGTATGGCCTGCACATGCTTGTATGCATGCCTGATAACGTCAGGGCATGCTCCTAATGAGATGATGGATGGTGTCCTGGTGTATTTCCTCCCAGATCTGGACCAGGCCATCACTGAGCTCCTGGACAGTCTGAGGTGCAACCTGGCGGCATCGGATGGATTGAAACATGATACAGAGGTGTTCTATTGGATTTAGGTCAGAGGAGCATTGAGGCCATTCAATAGTACAATTCCTTTATCACCCAAGAACTGCCTGCATACCCTCTCCACATGAGGCCAGGCATTGTTGTGCACCAGGAGGAACACAGGACCCACTGCACCAGAGTAGGGTCTGACAATGGGTCTAAGGATTTCATCCCGATACCTAATGGCAGTCAGGGTGCCATTGTCTAGCCTGTAGAGGTCTGTGCGTCCCTCCATGGATATGCTTCCCCACACCATCTTGACCCACCACCAAAACAGTCATGCTGAACGATGTTACAGGCAGCATAACGTTATCCACGGCTTCTCCAGACCCTTTCACGTCTGTCACATGTGCTCAGGGTGAACCTGCTCTCATCTGTGAACAGCACAGGGCGCCAGTGGTGCCAATTCTGGTGTTCGATGGCAAATGCCAATCGAGATCTATGGTGCTGGGCAGTGAGCACAGGGCCCACTAGTGGACATTGAGTCCTCAGGC